ATATAATTGTTTAGGTTTATGAACTGGTTCATATATTGGAGTAGAACTTTTACTATTAAATTTTTGAACATAAATTCTACTAGGATAAAGTTTAGTTAGATCACTATTCTTCTTCAAAATAACTTCATATTTATCTGTTTTTTGATTCCAAGTATACAATTTTGGTAAAACAACAATTTGAGGTTGAATTACTTCTCTTGATCGTTTAATTCTTGCTTCATATGAACTTATAAAAAATAACAAAACTAATAAAATAATAAATTTATTCATTTTATTAATTTATATTTAAGATAAAGTATGATATTTATATTTTTTAAGTTACTCTTGGTTGTCATTTTGGTCTTTGTTAATCATCATCACTACTATCATCTTCTCTTTGACATCTACTACTAATTATAGATTCAGAAATATCATTTAATAAATCATTATTTGTTCCTGATTCAACATTATATTTTATCCATTCTGCAAACAACATCGCTAAATATTGAGATGTTTTTGTTTTATATTGAAAAAAATTATCATCAGTATAAGTTCTATCAATATTTGTATTCCATAATATATAAAGTTCTTTTGCTCGTGGTAAATCTGTTGCTGATCTAAATGCATGATACATTAAATTAAATGTCTTTTTTACTTTATTAAGTGTTTTTACTATAGTATCTCTGGATACAAAAGGTAATAATTCATCAGTATCTTGCAATCTTTCAGTATATTCAAAATCCATTTGTGGATCATTAGGTACTTGTTCTATCATTTTTCTATAATATAATGCTTCCCTATATAAATGAGTTATCTTTTTATAATTTGATAATAAAGAATTCCAATTAATAGCATAATTTCCATCTAATAGCTTTTGGTCAATTGCATAATTCCAATAATCATTATTAGCTAAATTATTCAAAAGCATTTCATTATTCATATTTGTTAATAAACGACATAATTCTGAAAATGAATTATCTAATAATAATGGTTCATTAATACATATATCTTCCATATCAAATACTACTTCAACTTTTGGAAAATCATTTTTATTGGAAATATTGAAATCAGGTTGTTTAGGTTGACTTGTTAATGGTTGTTTTGGTTGTTCATTTAATTTATTTTTTTGAGAAAGTGTATTAATTCCTTTATTTATTGCTTTAATGATTCCAAATAACATTATTTGATATAATTCAAATTCATTAAATGTTTTTTGTTCTTTTAATTCTTTTTCTATTAAACAACAATTAATATAAAAATCCCAATTGTAATGACATTTACATATTTCTTTAGAATAAACAGTTAATGTAAAAATTAAAACTAATAAAATTTTAAATTTCATTTTGTTTATTTCAAAATAAATTAAATATACTCATATTTATATTTTTTATAAATACAAAGATTTCTATTTTATAAAAAACAATTTAAAAATGAGAAAATCCAAAATATCAATTTATTTTGAAATTTTAGAAATAAAAGAAACTGTTACTAAAGCTGAAATCAGAAAAGCTTATCATAAACAAAGTTTAAAATAGCATTCTGATAAAAATCCTAACAATATTGCTAAAGCAACAAAAAAATTTCAACAAATAAATGAAGCTTATGAAAAATTACTTGAATTTATCAAAAAATAACCAAAGAAAACTAAAAAGAAAACTAATACAACTCATAAACCTAAAACAAAAAAACAAAATAAAACATCCAAACCACAATTAAAAAAAACAAAGTCAAAAAAATCAAAAAAATCTGATGATAATGATGAATTTATTAAACATTTTTTTAAATTTATGAATAATTATATGAATAATAAATAATTTATGTTGATCTCCAAACAAAATTGTTTACAAATCGAATTGTATTTTCTTTTGGAAATTTGATAAAACATTCTTCATATAAATTATGATAATGATTAATCTGATAATTATAATAAATATCTATAACACTATCTTTAAAATATAAATTACATGAAGAAATATTACATCCACTAAATACAGGCATCTGACTACACTTTTTATAAAAATTACATTTATCACAACGTCTTGTTCCAACTTCCTATTTACATACTGCTATTAATTTTTCTCCTTTATTATAAGGTGAAACACAATAAAAATTTCCTTTTCTATCTTTACTTAAAGGTTTTCAAATACTTTTACTAGTGCATGTACATTTAACTTCATCTAATATACAATGTTCACATCGTTTCTTAAAATCACACCATCCACATCTCTTTTTTTTTATAATACATCTATCACATGGTAATTGGTCATCGGAAAATTCTACATATGATCGTTTTCTTTTTTTAGTTTTTGGTAAATATATTTTTGTTGCTTTTAACTCTTGTGGATAAATACTATAATTAACTGAATGTTGTACCCATACATCATGTTTAACTTGAGGAAAAATATATTCATCAAATTTTCCTTTATAAAATTTACATGTTAATGCAAAATATAACATTGATTTATTATCCAAAAAATCAAATATTCTAAATATCATTTTAGTTGGAAGTTTATTAATTTTTAATTTACTTTATAAACTAGAAAAAATTAAGTGTTTTTATAATTTTTAAAGTTACACAAATATTTAAATAAAATAAAATATATTAATAATTCATTCTGTTTGTTATTAC